GTTACAACGGATTCACTTGAAGTTACGGCGGATTCACTTGAAGTTGAAAAGGTATAGTCATATTTATTGTGTTGCAACAGCATGATTAAGACACACGGAAAACGAGCTTGTTTGCCAATTTGTGTCCTCATTGTGAGCTCCGTGGGACTGTTTAAACAAACTGGAAATGTCTTTGATCTATTTTAAAAGGCAGTAACACAGCGAACCCCCACCCGTATCCTGAGCAGTTTTGACGTTCAGATGACCCAGTAAAAATTACGGTACTATTGCGAATTCCACATGCGGTACCCAGGCGAAAATAGTTCTCAATGTTTTGCTCCGTTTCCCTTGTCCAAACACAGGTGAACCACCAGGACGTAACACACCGCTGGATTGCAGTTCAGTTGCGCTTGTACCCGACGAAACCGCATCAAATGGCAATAGGTGATCACAGTTCACAGAATTTTCNCGTGATCCGGTCACTTTACTTCAATCCTTCCATAACCGTGAAAAACAAGTCACAATTGTCAGTCGTGGCAGGATGGACTTAACGGACGGTAACAAAGTGCATTTGGTTTGGCGTCTGGTTTGAGTTTTCAGGACACACGAGACAAAGTCAATCGTCTCAATCCGCTAAAGAGAAAACCAGCCGCTTCAACTGTGAAACAATGCAAAGAGCGTTTTTTCCCAAACCGAATAGATTAAGGGGAGAATAATGGGTCCAGAAAGAAGCCCGTGACAACGGAAGGGTTGAGAGATAATGTAAAAATACTTTTACCTTCAAACCCTCACTTCTTTATTCGTAAATCAACTCGGCAGCTCTTGCATAGTTTTTCAACTAGACAAGAGACTAGTCTTTCCTTACACCCATATAATTTTTCCATGGGGTAGCGATGACGAAATAGGATTGGTCGAAACGTATGGAATTCGCGGAATGGTTCAAGAGCAACTCAAATGTCAATCAACTCACGTTCTACTACTGTTATTGAAAGCTGACTATGGTAAATTTTTTAAGCTTTTTAATAATAGTAACAATAAAAATTTACTGCGGTAGGAAGGGCGCATTAAAGGGAACAACTAAACTTTTCAGTCTGAGAGCGCAAAACGATGCTTTGCGAACGTCAATGTAGCCATTATTCTTGCTGTAACACCATGAAACAATGTGTGTCTACAGGAGGACTTCTTTCGTAACACGTATGGTACCCTGAGACCAATTATTTTGATTATGTATAATCAAAATAATTGGTCATCGTTCAGTCACAATGAGGGCAGAAAGCGAAAACATGTATTTTTCTCTGAACCGAGCTGGACATTTGCAGACAAACAATTTCACATTGTTTTTCAACTACTCCGTAAACATCGGATTCTTTTTTAAACCATTTGTTGCGCCCTTGGTCGACCCGGTTTGAAGAAAACTCTCCGTGCATTTTATCCTAGTTGAACCGATCCGCTTTGTTAGAAATAAGACGCGTGGATTATTCTCATGTTTCCAGAAAATCTCAGACCTGAAGCGTCCATCCAAATCTAATGTTTTTTCACCGTTCCTTAAGTTCATTCTGCAACAACTGACAATGGTGGCCTGTTCTTCACGAGCAGAGAAAGGTCAACATAAAGCGATAGGCTTTCCCCACCACAAGCACGAACAATGCAGGACGGTGTGTGAATGGACCTGTGAGTTGTGATCACTCATTGCTATTTGACACAGTTTCGTCGGGTACAAGTGCAACAGAACCGCAGCTGAAGATTCCACTCAGTAGTGAGTTTTCGTCCTAGTGAATCACCTGGCATAGATTGGATCGATGGATAGATAGGGAAAATATTCGGCCCTTGACTTTTGGACGACTGTTCGGACCGTCTAAAATCCATTCTTCACATTTAGGATTGATTGTCATTCGTAACTCCGCTGGCAATGATGACTTCGGATGCGGTTAAATACCGGTTAATCACTGGTAAACTGCAACCGGAAAACAGTTAGGGATATAACATGATCAACTCCAGAGTTAAACAAACGATGTTCAAGAGTCGAGATAATTTTCAGGACCGCTNGAATTCTCACGGTATCAATCAGAAGCGGATTGGGATTAGTCGCGACCGTATGAATGTGTCGGCATTTTCTCTATCGTACTGGATACGTGTGAGTCAGAGTAAAAGTACAAAGCACGGTGACCTGAATTCTAGCACGTCCTCCATCGCCACCCCCGTAAACCCCATTCCGGACAAATGTCCAGACGGTGAGCAAACCCATAAATACCATGTTTTACCCCTTACGGAACCACGACCACATTTTGGTTGGTGATACCAATAAAGGCTCGCACTGTTTTCCAACTG